CAAAAATGGCACTTTTGGCTAAATGCCGAAAGTGCCATTTTCCTGCCGATACATCGGCGCATCCGTGATTTCTTTCCTCCCTGCTGGGCAATGCTCTGTGTCTCAGCGGTGAGGAGAGAAAGTGACAGCCGGCCGAGCGCTGCGAGAGGAGAGCGCTGTGAGCAGCCAGTGTCTCTCCTCCCACACCGCTCAGTCTCCTATTACAGTCCGGCAGTGCGGTGTGGGGGCGGAGACAGGCTGCACTGTCAAAGGAGGCGGAGCTCTCCTCCCTGCTCCGCTCGCTCAGCCTCCTGTGACAGCGTGTCAGAGAGGAGAGCAACTGCAAACACTCAGTGATCAGTGATCGCTGACTGTTTGTAGATAATTGAGGACATAGCATGTTGACCATATCCCCAATTATGAATGAATGGGAGTGATCTACATCCCCTCCTGTTCATTCATAGTTGTGGTTATAGTAAACACACAATGTCCTCATGTTATGAATGAACAGGAACACTCAGTAAAGAGGATTCCTGATCATTGATAACAGGGGATCAGGGGTCTGTTTAGACCACTAATATTTCCTCGAAGCCCCTAAAAGTAAAGTAAAAAATAAAAATATTTAATAAAAAATGAATTAATAAATACAAATAAATATAAAAAAATTTAAAAGTTTATAAAAAATAACTAAAAATAAAAAAACAATGTTCTGCCCCGGGCGCCCATAACTCTGATTACGCCACTGCTCAACAAAACAGCCAAATGCCCATGCACACAGAAGCACCACCAATCAGTTGAACATATTAGCCTTTAAGCATTGGGTAGGGATGCTCTGGCTATGCTGGGGGCTTGCTGCAGACATAAATGTGCACCAATACAAGCTCTAACAGGGATAGGTCAGAAGGTAGGTACACGTAGGGGATCCATGTTATTTTTGCTTGTTTTCCGCACTGAAAGTGCCATGCTGAGAACTCCAGGGCTAGCAAGTCACATATTGGCCCCAGTATCTTGTAGTCCTAGGACATTCTATATCCCATCCACTGTGTTCCAGGTAACTCACCTGCCTCTGTAGCTCTGACACCCTCAGCTGGTTTGTGGAGGAATCGCTGATGTCCTGGACCTGACACAGCAGAAAGAAATGGAATAATGACAGACTTTATCCAACACAGACATTTGTCAGCATAGGTGGCAGTTTGCAAACATTTGCAGATATTTGGGAAAGTCACCCACCAATATCAAGATGCCCCTGCACAGTCTGATCTCCACGTGCCTGTTATAAACTAATTCCAGTGGGTGCTCACACATGTAAGGTCTGCATGGTGCCCACTACAAATCTTTTCATGCTGCTGAACATTAAGGAGGAATGGGGTAACCTATAGGTAAGCTTTCTCTCTCAATTTATTATTAGCTACACACTGTATGTGTGGGTGCTCCTACAGATTGCAGATTCCAATTAGAGAAGGAACCACTCTATAAAGAGGTGCTTTGACTCTGATGTGTAGCTTTCCTATAGATTTGCTTTTACTATATTGTTATAAGAAGACTTTAATAAAGTTTATTTTGCTTTTTTTGCTCCAGGTGGTTATAAATAGAGAATTTATATTAACAGCCATAGGCAGAGGGCATTACAACCTAGACGTTACACACACAGGGCAGCTGCAGCCATGGTCCCTACTGAGCACCGAGGTTCCGTGGCTGTAAATAGGACACAAGGAAGAACAGCGCATTATTTTACTTTGAAATCTGCTGCAGCCATAGTCACTTCATTCATGTAAGCACCACCCCACAGTACATCTAGCCCTGCCCTTACACTAGGGTTAAACTATCGCAGCAGTGTTGTGGATGGTTCCGAAAATTAGAGTGGATTCACCAAAGATAATCTTAGAATCCGGGGACAGAAATGGCTGTCTTCTGGCCTTTTTGATAGAACCAGATTAGATTCCTTGCCCTTTACCCAGAATCTACAATGCTCAACAGACTATGCAAACCTCTAACGCGGGTATCGTGGAGGCTTTTCTGCAATTTATTATTATTCTGCTAGTTCAACAGCAGTAAAATATATACAACTTGGAGGGTCTTCTCCACAAAGCACTATTCATGGCTATTCTTACCACAAAGCATAACCTATATGCCACTCCAAACAATAAATCCACTCTTTATAGAGTCCCTGTGGATTGTCATACAATTAGTCATGTGTACTTTCAAAAAAAAGTAGAAACATTGCTAATCCTGGTTATATTTAAAGGAGAATTATGAGATGAGGGATTTTCACTCAGCTTCATAATCTGAGCCGACCTGTGACAATGAAACTGTCACAGGTCGGCTCAGTAGATCGGGAAGTGAGCGAACACATACCATCGCTCGCTCACTTCTCGATCTATCCGTGCAGAGAGCCGTGACTGTCACTCATGGCTCCCTGCAGGGATTCCCCCTACCTGCTCTGTCCGATCCTCCAGCGCTGACTGGCGGAACGGACGGGGGAGGGGGCGGGTACAGCTGGCTCTGCCTCTAGATAGGCAGAGCCAGCTCTCACTCACGCAGCTGGGTGGATCCAGACAGAATTGTCGGGATCCGTTCCAGGCGTCTCAGTATACTGAGCTGTAGATCGCGGTATACTGAGCTTTGGGTGACGGGAGGACGCTAGTTTGTGTCCTCCCGTTACCCTTAGGAAAAGCCCTAACCCCATACTTCTCCTTTAAACAACTATGCTACAAGAACTATAACACCTTTGTGTAGACTGATTCTTTCTGTTCTTTCTAAGTACAAAGGGATTATTTTCTTCCCATTGCATCTGTTTTAAATCCTATTTCCCTGACTTTGTGGAAACAAATAAGCTCCCTTTTATTTTTATACATGGGGCTCATATACTTCCCCTATTAGAAAACAAGAGAGGTTCATAGAAAGCTGAGACTTCCTTTTACACACAAACCAGATTGTCTGCTATGTGACACTAGTTTGCCAATAACTGAGCCACTCGGTACTTAGTGGTGAGCCATGTGACATAATGTCAAAGACTGACCTCTCGAGTCTCGTCTCTAGAGCACTGAGATGACAGGCCGCTTATCTTGTTTAACTCCCTCCGAAGACTCCTCCGCTCACTCTCAACCTGTGTGCAATCAAAAACAGTTTAAAGGCCAAACTCCAGACCCAAAAAACACAGAAATTTTAAAAGCAAATCAACAGGTTCATGTTTATGTTCTCTTTACCAGCAGTATATAGTTATCTTCCCTTTGCTCCCAAACTATTCTATTCAATCATCGGGAGAGAAAGCAAGAAGCCCAGCTTAAAGTCACTCTAGTCTATGTATACATAGGGCTAAGGACTGGCCCTTCACACTCCATGCAAGCCTGGCCATACACTTGTCAATTTTTTTAATTGACCCGATTCCACCATCAACATAAACATTGTTTCGATCGAGGAATCCCGCTGTTTACATTGTATTCTGACAGGCGCTGCTGGAATCTGTCAGAATACCAGATCAGAGCGGGCAGCTCATTGGCCGTTGGCTCTGATCGCTCGAAAGGTTTCCAGCCGGCTCCTTCGATCAGCTAATCGAGGAATGCCGGCTGAAAGGAAGCCGACAGCCCCACACACTGTGCGAATTTCAGCTGGTACAATTAAAAACGGCCAAAATTCAACCAGTATATGAGCACCTTAACCCCTTCGTGACTGACGACGTACAGTGTACGTCGCCAGCATCGGGGCTGTTTAAACAGACTCCCGGCGACTTTTGCCGTCGGAAACTGCAAGGCCGGCGTTAGGGGTGTGCGAGCAGTGATTTACATCGCAGCCTGTTCATTCAAGATTTCACCAATGGGGAGAAGCACTCAGTACAGAGGCTCCTCCCCATTCAGAAACTATTGATAACCCATAGTTCTCCTTTAACAGTGCAGGGCCAATCACAAACCACCAGCGTAGTTCTGGGAGAAAGTGTAGCGAGTCAATTGCTCTTCCATACTCAGAAGTGCTCTGTATTTTCCTGCTCTCAGCAGCTGAATAGAGAGGTGAGCACGAGCTGCTATTGAGAGAGGCATTAAAGCAATCATTTTACCTTTCCATGCATGGACAGAGAATAAGTTTGCTTTAAAGAAGATCTTGTATTATAAGCACATTATAGAATCACTGATTGCAAAGAGCAGTCCTTTCAAGTTTAATATAGCTATATACCCCGGGGTGCTAGTGCGTCTGTGTGCTTGTACTTGTGCCTTTGCTTTTCAGGTATATTTTTTTATTTTGCACCACATCAAAGAATTGATAGATGCATTTCATACTCACTTCCTGTAGGGTCTCACTCAGCTTCCGAGTATGAGTCTCCAGGGAGCTTTTATCATTCTCCAGTCGTGCCACCATTTCGTGCAGGACCTCCAGCCTCCTCTGCAGACTTTCACTACCTGCTGTAGGCTCTGTGTCTGCAGTTGTCAATATCTAAACCACAAAGGAAATGTAATCAGGACAGTATAATACTACAGAAATTTAGGTGTGAACGTCCTGCTCTGGCTTTTATAGCTCAGGAGTAAGCGGACATACAAGATCCCCACATCCCTTTAAACTGAGATTAATTGAGTGCCATGAATAGGGATTAGTCTATAAAATCCCACTACATAGAAGAACCAAATGCAATAGGTTGCAGAACTAACTTCTATTATTATCAAAACTAATTTATTATAGAATCATTTTGCTAAAATTATTCTGTAAATGATTCTCTAATGTCAAAATGAGCGATGCCTAGCGCCGAAGCTTGCGCTATGTTTTTTGTTTTTTTTTCTTACCTTCCATGGTGGCTGGGGTTACCTTCCGTGGGCAGGCTGGAGGAGTGTCGCGTCACTGCTGTGGGCGGAGCTCCAGGTGGGGTCTAGTGTAGTTGGCCGGCGACCTGGAGC